AAAATATGTGAGGCAAAGAAAGATTTTGGTTTTTACATGAAAAAAAAAAAAAATCCCCAAAGAGATAAGTTCTTATGCTGTCATTTTGTCCTTACTTTTTTTCCAGGCAGCTAACCCCCAACATTTCCCTATGTATAAATAGGTTAATCACTGTGTTTTTATAACTAGGTTTAGTAGAGAAGAGAATCATCCTTGAAAACCCTGAAATATGCGAACCAACTTAAAACAGCCTTTTTTTTGTGGGAAATTTCTATAAAACCCTGGTAAATAACATCCCCTCACAGCCCTTGCTAAACACATTATTTCCATCTTGTGTCTATGTTTCTCCTTGTCTATTAATAAAATAAAATTAATGACTGCTATTAAATGACAAAATCCTAAAGTTATCTGCTAAATCTTATTTATATTACATGTATATATAACATCACAGCTCTGCATTACTATTTGCATCATCCTGAGACACTTGAAAAGGTATAGTATTAATTAAAACAGCTGTAAATCTAGTGGACTTTCAGTCACTTAACCCAAAACATAGGCAGTTCTCATCTTTGAACACGTGAACGCGATAGGACTTAAGATGGAGAAGACCTCAGAAATCAGAGGGAGGAAGAGAAGGCTTCTGCACACAATGAGACATAAGAGTGCTTGTAGCAGATGCATGACACTTTTCCAGATTATTTAATAACATATTCATTAAGTTTAGCAAGCTAGTAGGCCTATTATGGGAATTAAAAGCATTAAAATAATTCTATAATGGAATTTCTATATAATCTATAGGACAACAACCTACACTAGGCTGCTTTTTCAGAAGACAACTAAAAAGGAATTTCAAAGCACACGACTGGCAAAAAGTACAGGAAAAAAACAAGATGATGTTTTACTTGAAAACAAGCTGAAATCAACAATAAGGGAAAACATCAATTCTGACTCAGGAGTCATTCTACAGCTGGACCTCACAATGTGAAGCATTTAGGCATATGAACTTTAAACATGCACCTGAAAGATCTACTAAATTAGATAAGTGAAGAAGTTATGAAATCAACAGTTATCTGTTAATAATCAAGAAAGTCAGTTGTTACAGGAAACCATTTTTTCTGAAGTTTTTTACCCTCTTAATTCCTAAATTAACAAAAACCCTCTTCTGGGTGCACTAAAATACTATACACCTCTATTTAAATATGCCTACACACCTCTAAAATGGCTAAATCTCAGTCAAAAGGTAACTTTTTAWTATAATAGGAAATTCTATTATTTGCACAAACTAAATCTTTCAARAGATAGTAATGTATTTACTATCAAAGCTGATTGAACAAGGAAGTGCAGTCCATTGTTATAAATACTAATTGTAGGACAAGGCTGAAGTGGGCACAATGGTCATACAGATGCGCTGCTAACACCTAGCTAAACTGAAACATATAATCTGTGTTGCTCTGGGCTATTGCCAGAGTCTTGCTTACTTAGAAAGAGAAGSAAAACAGTGCCAAAAAATGTTAGGAAAAAGATGCTGAGGATTTGATGTCARTCCTAGCTTTATCAGTTCCCACCGCATTCAAAACAATCAACTGTTGCTTCATGGAACACAGTATTACAGCTCTACATGTTACTCTGGAAAGCAGCATTCTCCGGAATTAACATAGCAAAACCACATTAAATAAAGCCTGACTAATTCTGGGACCACTCCAAATAAAATTCGAAGTATTTTAATACTACATTAAGCATATTTGTTCTACCTTCAACTTATGTGGAATCTGTCAGGTATTTATAAATATTGCATTGTTACAGTAACTTCAAYACTTGATTGTGCAAATATTAATATTTTGTAAATTTGTAGATACCGAAGTTTAATTCTACCTGAAAAATCATGCATATACYGTCACTTCATATAATAAAAATAGAAAATGTTATAATATTACAGTGTTTTCTAACTGCATTAAATCAGTTTCACTGCTTTAAGCATGGTCAGGGATGACATGTTCCAAAACCCATTTCTATTGAAGCTCTGCAGCACAGTCCAGATTTTTTTTTACTCCAGCAGAACTGATCCTACAAAATGATGTGTAAATAAAAATCCTAGACACCTAGAGACAAAACATGGTAAATACTGCCTATTTTTCTTCAGGACCTGTAGGTTACTAAAAATTCAAAAATCAAATCAAAGTGTTATCACTGAACTCAACTACTTCACAGCTTGATTTTCAAACATAATTAAAGACATTTTRAAAAATAGAAGTCTTGCATAAGTATTTTAAACATCACTGATTTTAAAGGTGAGTAGGAATAGTTAGTTYGCTTAAACAAGTCAAATTCCTATGCTCTAGAAATATACAACAGTGCTATTTGCAGTTACAGGTACACACACTGTCATTGCACCACCTACAACAGAGTCTACAGAGCGTTAAGCCCAGGATTTCTACTTTGTTGAGAAAAATCCAGACATTTCCCCAGTGGTCCTAACAGAGGAACTAAGACAACATTCTATAAAAGGCATAGTCATGAAACGAAGGGATTTGAAATGAACAAAAGGACAAAGATTTCTTATTATACCAGAACAGACTTTATTTTACTAAGGCTAAAAGACACACCATTCTAGATCTACCCAGGAGGATCTATAGGATGCAATAAGCACTATGTCAAGTASAATAATATTTGAACTAAAAGGTTTTAAAAATCGTGAGAACTGACCAATTAAGTAGTCATTACTTAAGGTAGAAATAYTGCTCTAAATTCTCCCCAAAATTAATGGGATTACTCACTTCAGAATCAAGGTTTAACTTGCTTCTSAAATACAATATTTGTTCTACTGCAGTCTGTCTTTGACAATCATAAAATGGCTTGGGTYCAAAGGGATCTTAAAGATCCAATCCCACTACCATGGGCAGGGACACCTTCCACTAGACCAGGTTGCTCAAAGCCCCACCCAATCWGGCCTTGAACATTTCCAGGAATGGGTCATCCACAGTTTCTCTGSGCAACCTGTTACAGAGTCTCATTACYCTCACAGTAAAGAATTTCTTCCTAATATCTAATCTAAAAATACCCATCCAGTTAAAATACCCTTGGCCTATTCACTGCCAAGGAATATATTCACTATCCTTTTAAAAAGTCCCTCTCCTGCTCTTGTATGACTGTCTTTAGGTACTGGAAAGCTAAAGGAAGTTCTACCCAGAGCGTTCTCTTCTCCAGGCTTAACGGCCTCAACCTTTCAGCTTTTATTCAGACAGTCTAAGAAAGTTGTATTAGCTCATATTTGATCTGGGACCAAAAGCTGCCAATTCCCAGCGCTAGCCCAGGTCAAAAAAGTACCCATGTGATATCCTAATATGTCATTACTATTTTATATGACTGCATTTGGAACAGTAAGTTTTTAATACTTAAAACAAGCTCAGACCTTCTCTTACATGGAGAAAGCTTTTCAGCAACAAAGAAAGCTTAAAGTACATCTCAAACTTTTTTGCCTGTAAAGAAAACAGTACCAAGTGAGTTTTTAGAGACAGACCAATACACACACACATATATACATATATGTGTATATATGTATATATATACATTATATACATATATATATAATAAATACAAACACACATATAAATATTATTTCTGTGTAATCAGTCATCTCACATCCTGTGGGCATGGGTCCAGGAATTTATTAAATTTAATATAAATTATAAATTGACATAAGATGCTCGATTTTTACCCAGCTACTTACTAAAACTTACATGTGCCCAGAAATACAAGCACTTTTATGAAAAAAAAAAACCAAAAAACAAAAAACTCTCAAAAAGACAATAGCTGCTTTATAGAAACACAATGTTGTAAATAGACTATATACAGTTGATGCACAAACAAGTACAAGTCAATCCTACTGCTGGACAAATAAAATCCTCACAATTTTTACCTCCTAGGTAAGAACACAAACTTTGAATTCAGACTCCAGGTTAGCAACAGTTAGTTTTCCTATGAGCTACAGAGCTCAATAAAATGCCTGTTCCCTGTCCACACAAAAAGCAGTACAGCTACCCTTCACCGTACAAAAACTAGCACACCATGTCAATGTGGCAGGTATTTTTAAGGATTAAAGTGATTCTTCCCTTTGGCTGTCTCACGTTGCAAAAATAGATGCTGCAAGTTATTTCTMTGCTCTACCTGAAGGAAAACTTTGGGCAACCAGGTGAGAGGTCCAAAGTGACTTCAAAGATAAGAAGGTAGGTGGCAAGGCTTTACAGGACGGGAGGACCTGTAAACCGAGTCCAATGACGGCCCTGGGCAATTTCTAGCTTTCACTTTATGCTCTTCAAAGCGTGACTGCCGCTTTCACGCTCCAGAAAGCTGTCACTGATCAACTCACAGACCTTTAAACGCACTACAATGTCCGCGTTTATCTCTACTCTCAAAACCTTTAAAAACACATGAAAGTTAATCTGCTACATGAAGACGGGGGAGGATGGGGGAAGACGGGGGACGGGACGCGGAGATATAAACTCTCCGTATAAATTTACTTCGTTATCTTGCTTTTTCCACTTATTACAGGCATCTTCGTTATCTGAAGACACCCAACTAGCAGCCAGCGTGCCAAAACGGGACCACTCCGCAACACTCCGCGCCTGGTCCGTACCGTACAGCGATCTATACCCTGACTTTCCGCCCCCGGCCCCGACCCCGGGCTCTGCCCGCATCCCCAGGCGGGACCACCTGGCCGGTCCGCGCCCCGGCGGCGGCGGAGCCCACGCACTGCCCGCGRTCCCCGGCGGGGAGGGCGCGGCCGAGTCCCCGGGCCGGGGCAGGGCCCGCACCGCCCCCGCTCCCCCGGGACACCCACCCGGCCCCGCCGCAGGCCGGGAGAAGCACGGCGGCTGGGAGGGAGAAAGGGAGGGAGCGGGGCAGAGAAAGTTGAGGAGGCGCGTTTCGGCGGCTGCCGGCAGGGGAGCCCGCGCCCGGCGCCCATTCAAACAAAAGAAGCCCCTTCTCCTGCCGGCCACCCCCGGTCCCGCCGCCCGACTCACTTCGCAGGGCCCCGATAAGGAGGCTGCCGTCCTTAATCAGCTCCTTGATGAACTTGTTCGTCCTCTCCAGCTCGATCTCGTGACACTTGAGGCGCTCCCTGAAATCCGGGCTGTCCAAGTAGGAGTCACTGAACTCCAGCGTGGGCAGCCCCATGGCAGCGGCGGCGGCCGCAGCCCCCCGGCCRGCGGCGAAGGGAGGGAGGAACGGAGGGAGGGCCGCGCCGAGAGACGGCGCCGATGGCAGAGGGGAAAGCGGGGGAGCGGCGATGCGAGGCGCGGTCGCCGCCTCCCCGGAGAGGCTCCCGACCCGCCGCACCGGGCCGCTGGCAGCGGAGGCGGCGCGCTCCGGCCGCTGTCACCCAGCTACATTGCTGCCCGCGGGACACCGCGGGCTCCCAGCGCCGCCGCCGCTCCGCCGCTTCCGGCAGCGCTCGCTCTTCCTCCCTGCCCTGCGCTAACTCCAGTGCGAACCTCCCCCGGCCCGGCCGAGGAATCCCTCCTCCTCCTCCTCCTCCCGGCGCGGCATGCTCACACGCCGGGGACGCGGCCCGGCAGTGCCCGCCCCTCGCTCRCCGCCCCTCGGCGCTCTGCCCTCCAGCGGCGGCGCGGCCTCGGGCCCGCACGGGTGTGTGACAGCAGGCGCTGGCCTCCTCCTTTAGCGGGGCTTTGGGACGTCCCAGGCCGAGTCGGGGAGGAGGATCCACCACCGGGCCATGKAGGCTCAGGCATTGCAAAGGGTGCGCGTGGAGGAGGCGATTTGTGTCGGGGTGTTGCGGTGAGGGCAGCTCCGCTGCTGGGGCAGGACCGCTGCCAGCCCGGGCTCTGCTGCCGTGGCTGGAGGAGAGGCCAGCCCGAGCGGGCCTGCTGTGACAGGGGACCCTCCTGGTACCCAGCGCGGCCCTGGCCAGCCCGAGCGGTTCTGCTGTGACAGCGGACCCTTCTGGCAACAGCGCGGCCCTGGCCAGCCTGCCCCGTGTGCGGGTTCAGCCCGCAGCGGGGCAGCGCTCCGAGGGATGCTCAGAGACAAAAGATCGGGACATCCCTGTTCTGCCGTGCCACTTGGTTGCTATGAAGGGGATGCAGCCGAGCAGCCGAGCCAAATCCATCCTAAAGATGAGCATCAGAAAACTGCTAACCTGGTTTCGGCAGCAAAGTTGGTTTTTTACAAGTATGTGGGTGGGTTTATCACAGTAAACAGAAACACTTTGGTTGATTCTTGTATGTTTCATCTGGGGTGGTTTATCCAGACATACCTTGTTAGTATGCAAGTATGTATACAAATGTACATACTGGTTTTGAGAAGAGCTCTGTAAACACACCTTCAAGTCAACAACAACTCAATTGGAAACAACCATCCAGACACGGCCATAAAATAATTATACTTCAAGACAACCCACCACTTGCCAAAAATAGCTTTCMAGAAGACAGCTGTGCACTCATCCCTACCAAATCATTCAGTCTCCATGTTTACACAGTTGAATATGAAAGAGGTGGAAGGCCAAAAGCTCCTGCATGCTGTAATTCCTTAATTCAGTTTGRGTTTTTCACACTTCTTAACTGTTCATTAATACTTCTCTCTTTATATTTGCAATAGATTTTTGTGTCAAAAATACAGACAAGACACTGCAGTTTCAACTAATATGACCTGCGGGATTTGTTGAAGTATAAAAATAATATTCAGTTTTAACAAGGCTGAGATTTTTTCAGGACACTATCTGAGTTAGTTGTCAGTGTTGATACTGATAGATCCATTGAAGTCTCTTTAAATTCATAGTGATCACAAAACTCTGCTCATWAGCATGTTTCCTATTTTTCTAATAATAGGAAGAATAAGTCTGAAAATGACTGTTTATTTCCTTTCTTTTTCATGCAGTAGCATGCAATTTCACTTGCATAAAACTATATAAAATCTAATTGAACTAATTATCTGTTAATTATCTATTAAATATCGATCTATCTATTAATTGAACTAATTGAAAATCTAATTTGAAGGATGTTCCAAATAGATGTTTTTTCTGAGTATTAAAAAACTAATTTTTCAGTCTGYATGTATTCACAGAGTCATTTTAGGCACAGTTGTTCTCTCTTCAGTGTCAACTGTAACTGAAAAYATTCTTTGTCTTCTACCATGTTTATTCTTTGATGTAGATTTAGAAYGCTATAATGTCATCTCTTAGTCTTCCATACAGTACCTAAAATAAATCAAAACTTTCTGTCATAAAATAAAATATTAATTTCCTTCTTTATTCTTTTAGTTCTTGTCTGGATCACTAAGTTTGATTTGATCTTACTTCATCATGGCTTACTGAAATTGTACGCAAAACCTTGTTCAGTCACATTAATGACTATGTTGCTGAACTACACGCCTTTGATTAAACTGCATTTGTCTATTTCACAGCAAAATTACTATTCTACTTCACTAAGTCTCTTAGATCTTTCTTTTCCACTTGCACATTCCAAAGTGAAAACAGAAATATTTGTTGGTCCCAAAAACATGTACTAAGCATTTTAGTTCAAAGCAGTWACACTGGTAATCAGGGTGACTCATTTCTTACTGTGTAATGTTCTCATCTTCAGAAGTTCCATAAACACATTGCTGCTTTTGGTATCAAGATCATGAATGGGAATATTAATGAGACCAATACTAATGGCATATTCCCTCCAAGAAACTTACATTATCCGTTTAAATGGTTCCACGTTTCTCAGAATAATCCAAATCTTTCTCAGTGGAACTGAGAATTTCTCAGCAAATTCATGTAAAAACTCTACATGTACACATATGGGGCTGTTCTCTTTTCCCACCAAAAGRCCTTTTTAAGGAAACAGATTTGTTAAGAATTTTCCTTGCTTCATAAAGCAATATGTGATCAAATGAGCACACAACCCTGCATTGTCTTCCACTGGCAGAGAAATGTTTTATAGTTAACCTGTGAGCTTGATGATAATTTATGGCTATGTCTGGAGGAGGATCTAGCAAATGAAGCATCTGGCACACTTGCAGAGTTTAACTAATAAAWAAAGTCTTGATTAAAAGATAGGTCTTAGTGTGTGCTTTGTATTGGAGTTAGGTGGGAGCTAGTAGTTTGTTGCTTTCTAAAGAAAAGATATTTGAAGGTCTATTTGGGAAATGTAGAAGCCCAAAATTTATRGTGATCAGGACAGAACTSTATTTGGTTTGGTTTCTTTTTKCTTTTCTTTCCCTGAGAACTTTCTAGCACAGTGCCTTGTAGAAACAGTAGGTTTCATAACTTGAAAAGATACAAGAACCTGGGGAGAAGCCTAAACTTTCAAAAATAGCATCTTTCTTATAAAGTAATAGTATGCTAGAAGAGGATAGAAGAACCATATTGAGATACAATTTAGACACCTAAGTAGGTAGAAGCACCAGTCCTTCAAGTAGAAGGCTCTAGTAAATGAGTTAGCCTGATTTATTACTATCTGTGAAGAGATGAATGAAAAATGAGACAGTTTTTTTTTTTTTTTTTTCTGAGGCCTGGAGAGCTTTGTCCTGTTTCATCAACTCCTATGTTTGTTGTTCTAAGCTTATTGTAAAATCATACATGCTAATGCGGTCAGATCAATTATTGTAGATTTCTCCTTCATCTGAAGTGTAAACGCTGAACTGTAATTTCCAATCAGTGGCCCTAGTCTGTCTCCAGGGGATACCTCAGGCCTGCTTCTGGGTAGCCTGGGAAGAGGAAAGGAGACATGCGTCTTGATATTGCTTACAGCGGCACGTACCTGACTCGTAGTGTGAGGAGATGGCTCTCCCAACATCTATGGCTCTGTCCTGCTCTGTTAAATGCTRTTAATCTAGGCAATTAATGCAGCCAAGGACTGTGAATGTCTCTAATCTACTGGGGAATATTTTCAAATAGAGGCTCTACCAACTTCCTTGTTATTTCTTCTGCCTCAATGTACACAAATGTGGGAAAATAACTTATAGAACTGTGTGGCATTGCTCCATCTTCCAAAAATTGCTGTTTTCCTTTGACAGRCTGTGGGATTATACACAGAAAAATGCAAGGACACTGATGCTTGTAAGTCCACTTGAACTGCTCAAGCGTACAAGATTAGCTCTGTACCCATATAGTACAGAAAATAATAATAGAATAGAAACCCCCACTCAAGAAATTGTTTACAGAGTTTGAATTGTTTGAATTTGTTTTAGCTCTCTAAAGAGCTTGTTTTGCTTAAGTTTCCCATTGGTTTCTTCTTGGGAATTGCCAAGATTCCCAGTAACTAGCTAGGATAAATTTTATTGAAAGTTTTCAGTTTCTCATTATTAAATTAAGATACTACATGTTAAACTTTTATTGGTGAGCAATGTTAACTTCAAAAAATTAAATGAAATTTAACAAGGAAAGTAGGTCTAAGTTTTGTARTCCCTTGCATATATAAACTGAATGTAATACTACTCTCTGTCTGGAATACAATCCCATGTTGTTAACTGACTGTTAAATGACATAGCTGCCAATGCGTTCTATTTGTTTTGTTGGTTTGGGTTTTTTCACTACAAGTAAACATTGTCAGAGAAGGAGAGTAGACAAAATGATAGCTTGGAAACCACGCCTTGTAATTTAGTACGTACAGACCACATTATCCTGAAATATTGGTCTCTGCGCACAAAGGTCAGCTCATGTATGTTCCTATCAGTGTTTCAGATTGTCATCAATAATTACAGATTGGTAAACTTTCTTGAAAAGAAATGTAGTGTTTTTAATACGTGAACTAGCTCCAAGTGGTTTGGAGAAGCTTCAAACAGCGAAGTTCAAAGCTGAAATTAAAAATCATGTTTAGTAACTTACACTGTGTTTGCTTAAGCCTCCTGGGTACTTCTGGTTTGAATCCGAATATTCCCTGAATGTCTGTGGTTCTGCATTCTGGTATGCTCAAAATAGCATTTACCTCACGAAGTAGGTGCTGACACTGTGTGAGTTACAAACACTTGAGACAAGCAGCTCTCATCTCCCAGATGGGATTGATAGAGTACTCAAGACTGAGCAGATGAAGGCTATGCAGCATTCTGTGGGAAGCAGAGGATGTGGCACCTTAAAAATCACAGTAAGGTAATGAGGACTGTTTTGTATATCCTAGTAGCTAAAATATTAGCCTACAGAGTGGATAAGCTGAGCATTAAAGCACCTGCAGTCTTGGTTCAGAGTGTTATCTCTAGGAGGGG